CTAAACCCTGTGCCTAGAACAGACCTGCCCCGATGTCCTCCAACGAACTGAGTACGTATTGGAGCCTAGTGAAGCCTTGCACTGTAAACCCTAAACCCTATAAACCCTAAACCCTAAACCCGCCTCTAATCCCGGTGCTACTTATTCAGGCTCCAGGCTTGAAGTTAAGGGCCGATGTCGAAGTTGATGTGCTGCAAACTGTTCTATGGCCATGCTGCAGAGGGTTTAGGGTTTAGGGTTTAGTCTGAGTAAACTGTTGAGTCCGATTCCTCTAGGGCCGGCGAAGGCGAGCTGAGTCCAAACGCTTTCGGATACCCTGGCACTCCCGAGTCTTCTATTCGAGTACGTAGGTCATCGGCTAGATGATCTGTGTAAGCTTCGTCCCCAGGCTGCCAAGATCGGATATGTGAGACTCGCCTCTTATGGATGTTCTCCCTAAGCCCTAAACCCTACACCCCTAAACCCTTGTTCGAGTCTAGGTGGAAGCCTATCATGCCACACCTTGAAGAGCCAGGAAGGCGCGAAGAGCAGGCTTCGGGGGGAGTCACTGGGTTGATTCAAAGTTGAAACTCCTAGGGGGATTGTAGCTACTTTGGCTTTAGGACTCGGGCCTAATTAAACCCTATACCCTAAAACCATCCTAAACCGTTTGTGGTGAGCAATACCTTACCCTAACCCCCCAGGTACTATATAGGGTACTAGAGCCCCTAGGGCCCTATATAGTAGGTACCTGTTGGGTTAGGGTTACTTTTTGATGAGTTTTGATGGGGAACCCTGAACCCTAAACCCTAAACCCTAAACCCTAGACCCTAAACCCTAAACCCCAAACCCTAAACCCTTGATGAGTTTTGATGGGGCTCTGGGGGACCAGGGCTTTGTTCCAACCCTGGTCTCGAGGTGTGGAGAGAAGAGGATCCCGTGCTTTTTGGGGTTTCGGGGTTTAGGGCTTATAGGGTTTATAGGGTTTAGGGTTTAGGGTTTAGGGTTTAGGGTTTATAGGGTTTAGGGTTAATACCTTAACCTACCAAGACCTACTTTTTTGTAGGTTCTTATTATACACCCTAATATGGAATTTATAGGGACCCTACAAAAAAGTAGGCTTTGGTAGGTTAAGGTAGGGTTTAACCTTGAACCCAAGGCCTGTGATTTTGACATTTCTTGAACCAAAAATACACGATATCCGAAAAAGCCAACTACATTCGAGAGGATAAGAACTCTGTTTCAAGGACCCTCGTCGGCTCGATATTGGCGCCATTGCGCCGCTTGCGCCCGAACCCCTACACGGGTAAACTCGAGACCTCGGAGAGAGGATACGAATACGGCACTTAGCAAGACTATTTAAAATTTAGTCTGCTACGTGACTCCCTAAACCACAAATATGAACCCCAAACTGTAACCCTAAACTCCAGAGCATGAAGAGTTGCGAACCTGCAGCCCTCCACCTCCACACCTCAAAAACCCAGTTGCTCAAAGCTTTCTATTACGATAAGCGGCTACTAGAAGTGCTATTGAAAGGCTACAATAACGAACTTTTAATTCGAATCAAAACCCTAAACCCTAAACCCCTAAACCCTAAACCCCTCAACCCTAAACCCTAAACCCCTAAACCCTAAACCCCTCAACCCTAAACCCTAAACTCTCTGCACCATACATCCCTCGATTCTAACCCGGAAGCTTGTTCAGAAGCTTGAAGGTCACGGATCATGAGCCCTGGGCCTTGCGGCAAACCCAACTCCGACACAACCTAAGGGTTTAGGGTTTAGGGTTTAAGGTTTAGGGTTTAGGGTTTAAGGTTTAGGGTTTAGGGTTTAAGGTTTAGGGTTTAGGGTTTAGGCTTTAGGGTCTAGGGTTTAGTGCTTCAAATCCAAAGTGCACACCGTGCACGCTTGGACCTTCTCACCCTTCGGCCTACTCCGTGTATTGAGAGGTATCCCTTGAAGCCCAGTACCCTGGCCCAAAAAAGTTTAAACTTTTCTTTTAGTAGGGGGCTTAATATACCAAAAAGTTTAAAGTTTACCTACTGGGCTCCTAAGTATCTGTGCTGTCGAGATCATACCAGAGAACCTACCCTAAACCCTAAACCCTAAACCCTAAACCGTGCAAGCTTTTGGGCTGGCTCCACGATTTAGTGTAGGGTCTTCTTTTTCGTGCATAACCGAATTTAGTTGACAGTCAGGAATATACAACCAAGACGAAAGCAAGCAAAAGGAAGGAGCTATGCAGAGTGTAAACTATTAAAAAAACACCAAAATAGGTGCTGTGATATGGCTAGAGTGATAATGGTCTAGCTCATGGACACGACCATCTGCCTGCAGACTGCTTCGCCGCACTGCCAGTTCGCCATCATACGACAGTCTCGTTGCTGTCGGGCTTAGGGTTTCAAGGTATTACACGAATGGTAGCCAATGGTGGCAGTAGTAGTCGTCGTCGTAGTGGGATTAAGCTCCGAAGCGGCAGCAGTAGTAGCCTTCAGCATCTTTAGCCTATGTCAGCCTGTCAATTATGACCATCATAGCACCATGACTACGAGTGGTGCCAGCCTTAGTATCAGCACGATGGCAGTTGGACCGTTTACAGCTACTTCGTCTCCAACCTGTTTGTGCTCTTGCTTAAACCCTAAACCCTACTTAAAGGATCATGGGACTTAGTAAGTAGGGTTATAATTAAGGTAACTATACTTATAACCCCAATTCGGGGACTTATAACCTTACTTACTAAGTACCATGATCCTCCAAGTAAGGTTGTTCGGTGCGCAGTTCGACTGACAGCGAAGGCTTCTTGGCGAGCCCAGAGGTGCTGGCGAACTCTTGCAAACATGCTGAGGGTTTAGGGGTTAGGGCTTCCTAACAGAAACCACAGCGTGCTTCGACCTAGCGTCGTGAGTACTCATAGTTTTGGGCATGAGAGACATGTAGATAGGTAGTCGCGAAGCTTGAGGCAGCAAGGGACATGATAGTGGAACGCAAAACCACTTCTCTGCTTGATGCTCAACATGCTGGCATTCATTCCCGTGCTTTCTGCTTGTCCTGTCTCCCTGTATTGCTAGTGGTACACCCTCATATAGTATCTCATGAGTATGGCTCCCAGCAGTATCATGAGTAGTGGGACGCTACCAGACGGAACGAGCGAAGCGAGGTGCCAACCCCAGTAGCGGTAAAAAACCCTTGAACCCAGTGGCACCTGCTTCGGGTTCGACTTCAAGAAGCCCGAAGACTAAAACCGCCGGCCCCAATATAATATTGCTCTAAGGACCTACGGTGCAGGGTTTTGGGGTTCAGGACAGTTTCGAGTTTTATAATCGGGTTCGGGGTCTAAGGTTTCGGATTGCGGATCCCAAACCTAAAGGCTCCATATAGACTACCATGATGGAACTAATATGGCAGTCTATATGGAGCCTCTGCATAAGGTGTACGGCTTACCATTTCACACATCTGTGGTAGCTCTGGGGAATCTCCCGAGTTAAAACAGGCATGCCAGCCTTACGAGATCCATGGAGCCTGGAAAACCGTAGGGTTTAGGGTTAAGGGCTCAGGGTTTCGGGTTTAGGGTGTGATTTCCTTATATAAGTCCTTAAAGAGGTAGGTTCTTCAGGGTGCAGGTGGGGTCTAGAACACGGGGCTGGACTCCATCATTAGTGTACCAGTATACTGAGAAAGAAACCGAATGTGCGAGCAGAAATGCTCCTCTACAACTGCTGGTATATATCCTAAACACAAAAAATCCCCACAACGAACAACCTAATTTGTTGGATAGTAAGGAGCACGACGGAAACCTAGCACTGACCTGCCGGGAGTTGGGATTAAGGGGATCCTTGCGGATATCGACCCTCTCAACAAGGTCCCTTGTTGAGAGAGCCAGAAGTAGGGTTAAGAAGGGTCCCCTTTAAGGGGCCTCCCTATATAATACCCTAAACCCTAAACCCCAAACCCTAAACCTAAACCCTGGGACCTGCACTGCTTTGTCACGCCTCCGTTTCCCTGCTATGTCGGGGGTCTTGCCGGCCGTGTCGGGATCAGGTCTGCTCCTTCCCAGAGCACCCTATCTAGGGTTTCGGGATTCGGGTTTAGGGTTTTGGGTTTGGGGTTTAGGGTTTAGGGGCTTAGGGTTTAGAGATTAGGGTTTGCGGTTTAGGGGTTTAGGGTGTAGGGGTTTCGAGGATTAGAAGGGTTTAGGTTTAGGGGTTTAGGATTTATGTTTTAAGGCTTAGGGTTTAGGGTTCAGGGTTTAGGCCCAATACCACGGCTCTGCCGCTCCTTGGGAGTTCCGGAGGCCGCGCGTTCTCCAGCGTCGAGTCAGACTGCTGCTTGCTGGCGACTGGGTCCAGGCCTCGGTATGGGGCCCTAGTGTTGATGATATTATGGGTGGCTGTCAAAATTATGGTCCCTTTGTGGGTCCTTATTATAATACGGCACCTATTATTTAGGGTACCCCAAAAGGGACCCTAATTTTGACAACCACCGATATAAATCATCCTTGTTGGAAGGTGAGAAACTGTTGCTGATATAAATCCAGCATTACGTTAAGGATCCTAAACTATGGGAAGTATGGTATATCCCTTATTCTGGGTAATACAGGATTTAGATCATCAGCCGTAGTACGGGGTTCAGGGCTTAGGGTCTAGGATGCCTGGCGCCTGCGCAAGGAAACGTATAGTATACTAGAGAGAAAAGGATGCGAAGATGCACTACATATACTATGACCATAGCTACACCATAGTGTACCAGTGTACTTTAGCATTATACAACAATATGCGATCAAGTTTTGGGCTAAGGTCGAGTTCGGCCTGAAAAGCTCATGATGTTCTGGCTCGAAAGTTTCTAAAGCCGCCATGCTGGCTAGTTTGCACCTCAGGGTTTCGGGCTTATAATGAACTTAGATTGAGACCCGAACCCTTTTTAAACTCAAAACTGAGACCCCAAAGCACGAAATCTGGCACTCTTGAAACGAGGTTCGGTTCCGCCACGCACTGTAGGAGTCCAAGAACAGGGCAGCGATGGAGTCTACCTCTCCGGCGGGATGATTCCCAGCTTCACCAGCTGCTCCGTCGTCATCCTCACTTCGGGTGGCTGTTCCAGCTAAGGTTTAGGGTTTAGGGTTTAGGGTTTAGGGTTTAGGGTTTAGGGCTTAGGTGTTAGGGTTTAGGGTTTAGGGTTTAGGGTTTAGGGTCTAGGGTTTAGGGTCTAGGGTTTAGGGTTTAGGGTTTAGGG